TTTTAGAGAAAATGGAAACAAAAAATAACTTAGGCTTAACATCAGGAGAAGACAGTTGCAACTTCTGGGGCACATAATGAGGAAAGAGGGTTTGGAAAGTCTGGTACTCACAGGACAGCTTGAAGGTAAGAGAGGAAGAGGAAAACAAAACATAACCTACTTGGTTAGCTTGAGTAAATGAACGGCTGAACAGAGTTTAGGAGAAATAAAAAAAGGGAGCGGGGGAGGAAGTCTTGGCAGTATAGGTTACAGAGTGCCAATGAGATTTTTCAATCAAGTCCAGTGATCAATTCTTATTGAGGTGTCTAAGAATCTTACCGAAGGGGCGGGGGTCTTGAACATGTAATCTAGTGCCACAATATATTCAGCTTGAAAGAAATTATGTTTCTTTTACAAATCATTATTTTCAGAACGTGTATCAGAGTCTAAGGCGAAACGATACGAATCTTGCCTCGAAATCTTTTTCCCTGACTCTATTATAGGTAAATCGCCTAAAGTTATTGCAGTTAAGTAATTTATTTGCTTTTGTCTTTTCAAAATTTCCAATAACAAAATTGCAGTCTATTATGGGAAAGTAAAAATGACGAAAAAAATATTTTTTAACTGCCCGTAAAAGAAGAAACAAGCAGGCGTATGAATCGCATAATATTTCTATCGAAATAGATTTATATCAGTTCAACAAATTTTATATGCGATTTTATATATATATATATATATATATATATATATATATATATGTGTGTGTGTGTGTGTGTGTGTGTGTGTGTGTGTGTGTGTGTGCTACGTTTTTGGGGGGTATATGTAACTAGTGAGCCAATCCAAATGACTTAACTTCCTTTATAGTCTACCAATAGAATGTTAACCAATCAGAAGCCGCAGAACATTGTATCCGTCGTGTATAAAGGCGGCCATTTTTGTTTACCTTACCGGAAAGACCAGTGCCAACCTGACAGGCGAACATGATAGAAGGAAGAACTACGCTCTGCTTCTTTGCTACGATATCCACTGCGAACCTGAACTACCCTTTCCCACTGTCTCCGAAATATTCACTGCCAACCTCTGGATTCTATTCTTAAAGACGACCGTCAAAATGTCTAACAATATATATATATATATATATATATATATATATATATATATATATATATATCAGTTCAACAAATTTTATATGCGAATTTCGATATATATATATATATATATATATATATATATATATATATGTATGTATGTATGTATAATTTTACCCCAAGCAATGTGGTAATGCCAATAGTACGAAGGGCGTTACAAAGAGTGAAAGAGAATACTTGGAATATGGAGGATTGAGGAAAGGACAAAAGATGAACGGGGTTCAAGAAAACAGAATATACTGATTAACATTACATTTGAATGCTTAAAGATTGTTATTACCAAGGAAACAAAGAAACGGAATGGGTGTTCCAGAAGTGAGAAGTGTGAGAAAAGAAACTGTTAGAGTCGAAGTGGTGAATGCCTTTAGCTGTTTCAAGAATAAAAGGCTGGGATCTTGAATCTAATCTAGTTCGGGTACCAGGGTCAAAAAACTCGTCAGAGCAGTTGCCATGAAAATATTTGTACAAAAGAGAGAAGGAAGCCACGTCGGTGAGAAAGTTATGTAAGTCTGGTCAGGATCGATTATATTACAAATGCTTCTTTGAATTTTGTCAAGAATCTCGAGATGTACAGCAGGAGTACCAAACAATATATGGCAACAGTATTTCTGGCACGACACAGTGACTCATCTTTCCTTACAGCTATTGATTCAATATAGTCGTTCCATTTCAAATCAGTAGAGAACGTGAGGCTAAGAAGGCACAGTGTGTTGCTCTCCTGGAGTCAAGCGTCAGCCATGTTGATGGCAGGCAGAAAAGGTTCTCTAGGGTGGTTAAATGAAAGCAGTTTTGCTTTGGAAGCGTTAACATTTCCAAGTCATTTCGTGCCCCTGTTAACCACTGATTGGAGGACATTTTTTCTCGTCATAAAGAATAAACATTGTATCAACCTAAGTCTGGCCTTCAATCCGACGTTATAAAAACAAACTTTCAACCAAGTTTGAATTCTATTCTGATCCTTTACGATTACTTCGTGCTGATGTGCTAAGGAACATCTTCCTTTGTTCAATACCTGGAAAGAAGGAGACTAGTCTCGTTCCCCCGTCAAAGTCTCGCGATATTTCATATTAGTTTTCTTTTTAATATTACTCATTTCTTTCTCCCCGTCTTCACTGACAGTATAACTGTATTACCCGAGCCATGATTCGAATTCACAATTACTGTATAACCAAATTCACGAATAAATACTTTAATCAACAAGTATATTACAATAATTTTGCAGTTCTAAAATAAATACAAGACCAGATATCCAAAGAGATGGAAAAGGCTCAGATTAAATAAAGCGTTCGGTTCAAATTTTACTGACGATTACTCGGATCGTCGGATGAAAAGTTATGCTATTAACAACAAAGATGAGGACGTTAGTCCAAATGGAAATATAAAACTTAATCTTTATTAGGATAAATAACTTGTAAAATATTATCCTTAGCTGCACAAATCTGAATAATAATAATAATAATAATATTAATAATAATAATAATAATAAATACATGAAATATTAATTTAATTTCTCATAATTTTTTGCAGTATGTATGCGTTTTAAGTCAAAACATTATCCGCACTTTTGCTCTAACGTGACAAACTTAATCACACTGCTTTCTGCACATGCGTGCTTGTAGTTTGTTCTATTGTGGTCACGTGATCGAAGTTCGCGCTTGGGTTAGTTTTCTTACTGCAATTACAGTGTAAACAAGGCCAATCTGCTAGCAGTGTGCAGCAAGTTGGAATAAGGAGCAGTAATTTGTTCTCTCTGGTCGGAAGGTATGCCAGGGGCTAAAATACATCGAAAGCTTTTAACAGAAAACGGCGACAGTGCACCACCACATAGAAGTGTGTATGAGTGGATTGAGAATATTAAAAGTGGCCGGCCAACAGTGACGCGCGCCGGAGAAGCATGAGGATTGTCAACTTCCACCACTGACGTTAAGATTTAGCAGGGTCGAGACAGGGTATTGGCGAATCGGCGAGTTCTGATCGATGAGGTAGCATGTTCTCTACACATTCGGATCACTGCACTTTATTCCTCCTTGTTCCCTCGTACATAAAGTTGAAAATATATGCAACCCATTATGAAACAATCTTGCTAATCTGTGGTATAAACAAATGTAATCAAATGGATTTCTACAGAATGTTTTCACTTAAACAAGAATGGCAGTTTTTTTTTTCTTTTTTTTTTTAAAGCATTTCACCCCAAGCAAAGCGGGAAGCCACTAGGACGCAAGGGGTTACAGAAAGTTTAGAGCAAGATCAGATAGGAGTGATAGAAGAAATGATGAGGGTAGTGGATAGATCAAGGCAACTGGAGATGTCGATTGACATTACACTTGAATAGCTGGAGATTATAGCTCACAGGGAAACAGGAATAGGGAAGGGAGCTCCACAGACGAGAGGTGCGAGACATGAAGCTATTGGGGTAGAAGAGACGGCTACATTTAGGAGTTTCGACAGTGAAGGGGTGAGAGCGGGATGCCAGCTTCGTAAGGCGCTGGAACTCATGATGTCTGAGAACCAGCGAATGCAGCTCCTCGGAGCAATTTCCATGAAAGTATTTGTAGAACAGACAGAGGGAGGCGACGGCGCGTCTGTGAGAAAGTGACTGTAGACGAGATGCCAGAGCAGGGCCAACTACATTGCATATCCGCCTCTGGAGCCTATCAAGAACCCCGAGGCAAACAGAAGGGGCACCAGACCATATATGGAAGGCAATACTCCATGCAAGGGCGAATTGTTGATTTGTAGATCTGGAGGATCGACTCCGGGGAGAAAAACTTCCTGGCGCGGCTCAGGGAGCCAACTTTCCTTGCGGTGGACGAAGCAATTGACTCAATGTATTGCAAGCCGTATGAAATTTGCCAAAATCTGGTTTAAACAAATGTAATAAATGGATTTCTACCGTGTCTTTCGAGGTACATAAGGGCATCAATTTTGAGATTCTTTATGAATAAATATTGTCAAAATCTGGTTAAAACAAATGGAATCAAATGTATTTCTACAGTGTGTTTCGGGATACACAATGGGCGGCCATTTTACAACCCTTTTGAAAGAAATATTGCCAAAATCTAGTCTATACAAATGGGATCACATAGATTTCTACAGCGTGTTTCGATGTATACAAGGGCGATAATTGTGTGAACCTTTATGAAAAAAAATCTTTGCAGCCTCTGCCCGAAACAAATGTAATCAGATGAATTTTTACAGCATGTTTCAAGGTACACAAGGGGGAAAAACTTTCAAGATCTTGTTTAAAAAAAATGTAACTATGTTTGTTTCTACAGTATCTTTTGTGGTACACAACGGTGATAATTTTGCTAAACAAATGTAATCAAATAGATTTTTTAAGTGTGTTTAGAAGTACACAAGGGTGACAATTGTGTACCGCTTTATAAAAAACGTCTTTGGAATCTCTGCCTTAAATGCAATCGATTGAAATTATGTTTCACGACAATTTTACAACCGTTTATGAAAAAAAAAAACTTTCCAACATCTGGTTTAAAAATGTAACTCTATTTGTTTCTCCAGTATTTTTTGTGGTACACAACGGTGACAATATTCCGACCTTTTATGAGTAAAATCTTGCTAAACTCTGGCCTAACCAAAGGTAAGAGAATTAGTTTCTGCAGTATGTTCTGTGGTGCTGCGATATTAAATTTTATAAGCGACTCCTTGAAAAATTTAATATCCGCATATCTCTGGGGTTGGTGCTGGTTTGACAATGGTAGGGTCAGGTATATCCATTCATCCTCGCCCTATTTAATCCTAACGTTAAACTACTCAACTTTAACTAGAAGTGTATTAATTTCATATCGTCACGACAGAACAATTAATACTCCATTCTGATTCCACCAAAACTCAGTCTTCTATATTTCGTTTCCGATGCTTTCCTCTCCCGCTAATTCGGTCTTTTATGCCAAAGCAAATATTTGTTTCTTTCTTCCTTTATCGCTTTAACTTGCGTTCGAAAGTCTCTCTTGGAGATCACAATATCAGTTCCAGACGTCGACCCACTCGCAGTGAGTACATACTGTGACATTTAAATGGCGAACAAGTGGGAAATGTCAGATTTACTAAATCCTGGCGTCACGTCTTTGCAAGCTGTACTTTTTAAAAGAATCATCGCTTCCCTTTCGAAACAGTAGGCTGAATGCGCCGATATCAATCCTCGACCATTCCTACCTACCTACCTACCTAACTACCTATCTATCTATCTATCTATCTATCTATCTATCTATCTATCTATCTATCTATCTATCTATCTATCTATCTTAGTCTGTTGATATCTATCTATTTTAGTCTGTTGATATCTATCTATTTCACTCTGTTATATATATCTATCTCCATCAGTTTGTTGATATCTATCTATCTATCTATCTATCTCAGTCTGTTGATATCTATCTACATCTATCTATCTATCTATCTATCTATCTATCTATCTATCTATCTATCTATCTGTTGATATCTATTTCAGTCTGTTGTTATCTATTTCAGTGTGTTTTATATATATATATATATATATATATATATATATATATATATATATATATATATTTTCAGTTTGTCGATATCTATCTATCTCAGTCTGTTGATATCTATCTATCTATCTATCTATCTATCTATTTCAATCTGTTGATATCTATTTCAGTCTGTTGATATCTATTTCAGTCTGTTTTATATATATATATATATATATATATATATATATATATATATATATATATATATATATATCTTTTCAGTTTGTCGATATCTATCTATCTATCTCAGTCTGTTGATATCTATCTACATCAGTCTATCTATCTATCTATCTATCTATCTATCTATCTATCTATCTATCTATCTATCTATCTATCTATCTATTTCAGTCTATTGATATCTATTTCAGTCAGTTATATATATCTACTTCAGTTTGTTGATATCTATCTATCTGTCTATCTCAGTCTCTTGATATCTATCTACATCAGTCTATCTATCTATCTATCTATCTATCTATCTATCTATCTATCTATCAATTTCAGTCTGTTGATATCTATTTCAGTGTGTTTATATATATCTATCTTCTTCATTTTGTTGATATCTATCTATCTATCTATCTATCTATCTATCTATCTATCTATCTATTCCATTCTGTTAGTATTTATCTATTTCAGTCTGTTGACATCTATCTATGCACAACTATTCGCATCTACCTGTTCGCATTTTTCGTCATCTATTTCAGTAATTCTATTCATACGAATTTATCTATTAATCCCTTTATCTCGTCAGGCAAGAGAAGGCTTCATTGTAATTGCTTTCTCATAATACATACATGGGCGGATAAGTCCGTAGTTTTAATTTGAAATGTTCCTATATAATGAATTAAGGGTAGCGCAACTGTTATCGGCACAGGAAGAAAATACAACACGTTCTAACCTAGCCAGTTACCTTCCCTTTGCTCTAAAACCCCTGGGAAAGTCATGAATCAATTCGTTTTTCGCTAGTGTATAAAAATTTCACTAGCCTTGGCTAGCAGTCAGGCTAAGTGAAGGGAAACTCCGATTTAAAATCGTGACGAAGGTAATGGAAATCTATGAAATTGACTTTCCCAAAAATTAATTGTAAATAATAATAATGAAAAAGAAAAAGTGTGGAGAACCATAACGCTTAAAAAAATCAATTTCTGTAAATGATGAAAATTTTAGTGCATTGAAAATAAATGAGATTATGTTGAAACTTAAATTATTTTACACCGTTAAACATTTTTATGGACGTCATAATTGTCGTATAAATTTGTAGTTCTGGTTAATAATATCCAAAGGAAAACACTGGAATAACGGATTAGTGAAGGAAGGGCTTAATCACATGGATTAATAATACAATAATAGCAAACACCGTAGTTAGTGTGGCAATGCGTACGACACTGTTTGCGACTCATATTCTTATGAGCGGGCGTTCATCATAGTGAATAGAAGAGTCTACATTCAACAATTTAGTGTAGCAACGGGCCGTTGTCTTTCTACATAACACCATTTATAGAACCTAGATTTTGAATCATGATAATCCACTACTGCAAACTCATCTGCTGCTGAGAGTTAGTTTCCTAGACCCTCTTAATCTCAACATCGGAAATATTATCTATTTATGAGACTGACGTCACCCAAATTTCCTTGTATAAAATAAAAAAAAAAACTTCAATTATCTTTTACTCTTTTGCTGATGGTGACATGGACCTATAAGAATTGCTGGTAGCGATCGGAATATGCTTTATTTGAATCCTCACTTACATGGAGCATAGTTGCCAGACAGTGACGAAAGAATTCCTTCAGATAAGATAGTTGCTTCCCTCTGTTGTGAGAGACAATTTTTCACTCTAGAATTTATGTTGCATATCTATAAGTCAACAATTCGTCTATACTTAGAATATTGCTGCCACATATGGACCTGTGCTCCCGCTATTTACATTGAGCTCCTTGATAAAATTCAAAGAAGAATCAGCAATATTATTAGTTGTGATCTGGCGTCTCGGCCTCACTGTGAATAGTGATTGTTTGTTATTGAATTCATTCCGTATATACCAATTATATACTTGGGTATATATATATATATATATATATATATATATATATATATATATATATATCCTACTAATTAACCCATATCTATGAAAGAAGAGGTAGATTCCTAGCTTTCTCTAAATATAATAATTTCTATAAATCTATATGTTCGGATGAGTTCTTCGCTTTGTAACGTAGATTTTTTTAATTTAAGCTCAGTTTTAGACTGGCGTCGAGATCTCATCAATTTACAATTGAGCTGGCTAGATATAACCGTATATTCTATGCTAACAATTTATTTTCTAGCACTTCTCGCTTGTGGAACTCCCTTTCGGCTCCATTTTGCGAAAACGTAAATGCTATGTCAATCGCTATCTACTGTCCTCCTGATTATTCTTTTCTTTTTCCACACATTTTTAATATCTGTCCCTAATTCGTTCACACCATGTAACCCCCTTGTATCTTAGCGGCTTGACTACCTTGCATGAGTTGATACAGATTAAAAAAAAAAGGAATATAAAAGAATAATGTCTGTAGGAGAAGAGGGAACCAAAGTGAGATCATACGAAGAAGGTGAGAGGCGAAAATTAAATATATTACACATTATCCAAAGTCGCATCACGACAATGTATACCATATTATTAATGGTCTACAATTAACAATTTCATCGCCCAAACTAAATCTAATCGATCAAGTTAGTTGTAGTCGAGCAAGCCTATTATTTATAGGTTTATTCATTAAACGAAGCCAACCTAAACAAAAGCTATTTATAGAACACAATGATCTGACTCACTCTCAGTTGTTATTTATCTGTTTTTGTGCCTCTCCTCTTTTCTGATGCGAGCAACCAACGATATCTCTCCAGAATTTCTCATTTTTGTAGCACTTGTTTAACAGCTTTTTAGAGTTTAATTACAGTTTGAAATCTCAGAAGATTAATATTTGAGCGGAATTTGAAACCAGGCGAGTAAATAATAGGTATTTAGTAAGCTATGAATAAAAGTTTCTAAAATGAGTGGAATGAAAAGTGAAAGTTGAGTAGAAATCGTAGTAAACCCATACATGAGCATTGATTGATCGAGTGGTTTATTTTTACGGATTATTAAGCTTTTACAAGTTATTTAAAACCAGAAAATATTTCTAGATTCTAAGAATTTCTTTGGAGATAATAATGATTTACAGATATATATATATATATATATATATATATATATATATATATATATATATATATATGTGTGTGTGTGTGTGTGTGTGTGTGTGTGTGTGTGTGTGTGTATGTGTGTGTGTGTGTGTGTGTGGGAAAATATATAGAAAGAACTCGTTAGGTAAATAGTCCAAAGTTCTTTAGTATTTTTGTTATTATTTAAAAAAAAAACAGTGCTCGATACAAATGTAGAGCTTAAATATAATTCAAATTGTTATATTGAAGTTTACGGGTCTTGTTTTGAAACATGAGAACTCTTATGTAGCGATGGGACCATATTTTTAAATAAATAATTATATATATATATATATATATATAATTATTATTTATAAAAAAAAATTATAACATAAGCATGTTATAAAATCACTACAAAAATAGCCATTTTGTTTCAACACCCTTGGTGTCTTATTTTTTATAAATAATAATTATATCTGCTCTACTTTGTATTGAGCACTGTTTTAAGAATAGCAATTGTTTGTTATTGGAATTCATTCCGTATATACCAATTATATACTTGGGTATATATATATATATATATATATATATATATATATATATATATATATATATATATATATATATCCCCTACTAATTAACCCATATCTATGAAAGAAGAGGTAGATTCTAGCTTTGTCAAAGGTATTTTCGCCGAAATACTCGGTTGGAATTGAACTCTGTTCTGTGATTTTCGATTTCGAGCTGTTAAACCATCCGCACATCCACCTTATGCCCCTGAAGCGAATACCCGTCTCGGTACTGATCAGGTACACAATTAATTAACGTCTAGGCTCTTATGAGAACCAGCGTTTCCACGTGATATAGCCTTAAGCATGATAGAAGATTGAGATTATATTGAAATTTTTGAATATCATGCAAAATATCCTTCTTTTTATCGAAATCTCTCAAGCGCTATTAATGAGTTCAATTACAATTACACCAGACTCCATTTTCTCTTTCAACAAGAAAGCCTTCACTGTGTCATGTAAATGCCAAATTTTCCAAGCTCTCTTTCAACTGTGTCCTCAAAATTTCATCTGTCTCATTCTGAGTCTATATATCAGTGTAAATCAAAGAGCAAAGGCAATTTTGAAACGCCAGAAACGCAAGGGCATTGGATGACGTTTTTTCTCGCCGGGTATCGCATTTCATCGTTCAGTCGGGTGATAGGAAGCAATGAGCTCAGGCGTATGGACGCTACACTCAACGATTTCACCATAAATGAACAACCTGTCCTAGTGTACTTTCTGTGAGTAGAGGGAGTCCGTCTTGTGGAAATCCATCGCCGGATGTTAACGCATTATTGAACACAGATAATAAATCAAAGAAAGTTGTATGAGTGGGTAGAACCCTTTGAAACGGAAAGAACAAGTGTAATGGTTGAAAGTAGATTTGGTCACCTGTCAATATTGCGCACCTAAGAACAAAACTAGAGCTTAGATGCCTTGATTAGGGAACACTGGTGAATCGCGTTAGACCAAGTGACGGCAATTGTGGGCATCAGCTATGGACCTGCACAAGCCATAGGTGCATGATGAGTTGGAGTACCATAAACTTTGTGCCCGCTGTGTGTCCAGTCAAACACATGTGGTTTCTTGAGCCACCGAAAATCTTTCCGGAAGGGATGAAGAAGGAAGCTTGTTGAACGATATCTGAAATTCATCGCCGTGCAGCAGTCAACAATGACGAAGAATAACATTTTTATATCGCCTTCATAAGTGGAAATAAAGGTGTTTGGAAATTGACTTTGCTTTTAGATCTACTCTTATAAAATGTCCTTTTGGTCTATTTTCCTTTAAAACGAATTCCTTGTTCCTCTCATGATACTTTCTTAAAATCCTTCTGTAGAATGGCAACCGTATCGCCTCAGGACGCCTCTTCAATTACGAGGAAACTGCGCGGCATCGATTGACTTATTGGACGATCGATATTATATAACCGTCAGTCGCCATCAGTTTTCTTTCTAACTTAATTCTGTAATACTTTGCTTAGCATTTGGATGACATCTTTTGCTGTTCCAATTCACCTTCAGATTTCTCTATCACATTTTCCATCGTCTGTTATAACACTACACAGACAGATTTCTGTACGTGCTTAATTCTGACATCACTACCTCGTAGTTTGCACCTTCAGCTGTTTCTCTCGCTAATGACATTAAATTCTACTTTCTTGTACTTGATTGTTAATCTTACTTTCCGATTTCCTTTACTACGTCATCCTGAATTTCCTGCTGTTTTTTTTCGGCGTCTGATATCTGTGTATTCTTATGATTATAATCACCAATAATAAACCCTACCTGAAGCTTTTAATACCAGTTACGGTAAATAACATTGTTGTTGATTCAGAAATCATTGATTATTATCAATGAATGTTACATACGAGAGTATATCAAAAATTAATACAATACTTATTATATAAGAAATTTGAAACACAATCACTGTTCATAAAGATATAGCTATAAATCACAGGTTCACATCCCTACGTTTACCTCTTTCAACAGCAGAGTTCTAAGTATGGGTTAATGTATCTTAATTTAGCAATACTCATCTGCCTACTGATGCAGCCAATACATTTGTAAATATCTAAGCCGATGTTACGACGGTATACGAGCGCACCTCTAAAACTCTTGACGATTAGAGATTGGCAGCTGACCTCTTTTCGTAATTAACACAAAAAATGTCTAGTTATATTCAATGCCTCTAAAACGAAACTGATTATATTCCATCAGTGCCAATCAGACCCAGAACTACCGCCAGTCACGATGAACGGATGTCCCCTCGAGATGGACCCGTGCCTCAAAATCATAGCCGATGATAATCTACCAAAGAATATACTCTGATCATTTGGAAATATCTCCGCCGATGATACGACGGTATACGAGCGCATCTCTAAAATTCTTGACGATTAGGAATTGGCAGCTGACCTCTTTTCCTAATTAACACACAAAAAAATGTCTAGTTACATTCAATGCCTCTAAAACGAAACTGAGTAGATTTCATCAGAGCCAATCAAACCGCGAACTACCAATTGTCACGATGAACGGATGTCCCCCTCGAGATGGCCCGGTGCCTCAAACTCACACTCAATGATGATCTACCAAAGAATATATTCTGATCGGTATACGGGCTCAACTCTAAAACTCAGAGATTGGCAGCTGACCTTTTTTCCGATCTAACACTAACTTCCCAGCGCGGAAAAAAAAAACTGGCTGATTCCATTCAATGTCTCAAAAACAACCTAGTTACATTACCCCGAAATACCGCCAGCCATGATGAACGAGGAGGTACCGTGCTTTGATAGAATATTGTGCCTCAAACTCACAGCTAACCTCAAGTGGAACTCTTATATACGATCCATCGCTAAAGATGCCGGTAATATAATCGGCTTCCTATACCGCTCTACTAAGTACCCGACTCCTCACGTTATCCTCTACCTTTATCAAGATCAGTCTGAAAATGGAATACTGTTGCTATGTTTCGGCGAGAGCTATCCGGTACTCACTTTCCGATCTTGATATAGTTCAAAAACGTCTCTGAGTCCTTGTTGGGGAAGGATTATTTTCCACCCACAAACCTCTCTCTTACAGGAGAGATGTAGCGTGTCTCACACCTCTCTATAGATACTTCCATAGAAACTTCTCGAATGAACTAGATTCCTTCGTCCACCAGGTCTGACATTCACCGCTAGGACCCTCCATATCACTTACATAGTAGTAAACCAACAACATTCTCTCCGTATTTCATCGGCGAGAATTAAGTTCCACTCAGCCTCTTTCCGGGAACCATTGCCTTGTGTAGCGGACTTCCAAGAAGATATTCCCTCTATCACTACAATCTTAACATGTTCAAGTCTAGAGTAAATTGTTACCTTCTCCTTCACTTCATATAAACTACCTCTTAACGTGACGCTCTACTTCAAGAGGTACCCGGACCTTGTACAGGGTGACCATTATTGTACAAACCCCCCCCCCAAAAACAAAAAAAAACCCGAAAAAACAAAACAAAACTTGTTTTTCTAAACGTCCAACAGTAGTTTTATAAAAAATATATGTTACAGGTTGCAGAAATTAAAAAACACAATTTATAACACTCCTGTTAACAAAATAAGCTTGCGGGATTCCTCTAATGGAATGGTAGTATAAGAAACTTTCACCTGTTATCTATGTGATTTAGATCAGGTGCCTGTTACGAGTTCCATTCACATTAGAGTCTTTGAGGTACCGCATGTATTTCAACCGTAGCAGTATTGCTTTGACATTTCAGGGTGGTTTGAATTCAGAGTATTCTTTCCCCTAGAATGGCTGCCAACCAAGGCTATAGAGTTCCGTCCATACTTACTAATTACTCATAATTGGGGGGAAGAGGAGATGGACTTTCAAGAGTATTTGCCCGTAAGTGAATATAATACGGTTGATTGGAATTCGAAAACCAATTTCTACAGATCAACAACCTCGGAGTCGAGGATCCCTAGTATAGAGTTTCTTCCAACTTAAATCCATCTCTATATTTTCGAATAGCATATTCTAGCCACGATTCATTACTTTTTGTTAAACTCCTTCATGTAAACACGCCTATCTTTAAATGTATGTATCCTGTTAATTTCAAATCTACTTTTTACTTTTAATTTTTTTATTCTTTCCAATGTCTCCCGACCTTGCTTCAATATATATATATATATATGTGTGTGTGTGTGTGTGTGTGTGTGTACAGGGTGCGAGGTATAAGATGTTTTAATTATGCAAGAATGAAAATAACAATGGCATCTAATTTTAACAGATATCTACCAATATTACACAAAAATACCTTGAAATATTAAAAAGTAAATTCATTTTATAACATCAGCATTGGCTTCAACTACCACTTTCACACGACTTTGGAATCTCCTGCAACTCTTCTGGATGGTAACCTTATTTAAGTTGGTGAATGTTGCCATAATCCTTGCCTTCAGTTAATCTTTCATGTTACAAAAAGTTTTGTTGGTCTCTCACTCAACTGTGCGCCACCCATAATAATCAAGGCAGTTGCACTCTGGGGAGTTATGTGGTCAGATTTAAGGGGTGATGTGGTCACAGAAATTGGGATCTTATGCATTTGTGGCATGGTGCAGATTCCTGTTGCCAGATATAGTTTCGTCCAAAGGAGCACTACCTTTTCAAAGCACTTGATGTAGGCCTCCTTGTTGTGCCCCCATCAACAAATAGATCAGAACGATCAGAATGAGTTGCCCGAGTAAACACTCATCCAACACTTTTCGAATCCTATGCACCGTCTTGAAGTACAAACACTCTGAAATGTTCGTATTGAAGCTACCGGTTCAAATGCCAAACAGTACAGTATACTGTTTCCAAATTTATGGCGGAGTGAATTGCGTCATGACGTTCACAGACAGTACCCAACTGACACTATGACACTGTGTAGCCGAAAACAAAACAAAACAAACAAACAAAAAAAAAACATGCAACGGGCATGCACGAAATTAAAAATATAAAATGGCAACAATTTACCCAGCGTACACTGTACTTTTAAGTTATGATATATATATATATATATATATATATATATATATATATATATATATATATATATATATCGGGAAAAGTGCTCAATATTAGAGATAGAGCGTATGTAAATAAAATTGGGCACTGAGATCAAAATCAAGCAGCGTTTGTTTGTTATATATATATATATATATATATATATATATATATATATATTTATATAAATCAATGAATATAAATCAAGCGGCGTTTGTTTGTTTCTTTATTGAATGCAATATTGATATATATATATATATATATATATATATATATATATATATATATATATATCGAATGTTGCGTTCAATAAACAAAAACGCCGCTTTATTTATATTCATTGATTTATATATATATATATATATATATATATATATATATATATATATATATATATATATATATATATATATATATATATATATATATATATATATAAATCAATGAATATAAATAAAGCGGCGTTTGTTTGTTTCTTTATTGAACGCAACATTCGATATATATATATATATATATATATATTTATATTTATATGTATATTTATATATATATTTATATTTATATTCATTGATTTATATATATATATATATATATATATATATATATATATATATATATATATATATAGAGAGAGAGAGAGAGAGAGAGAGAAAGAGAGGCCTGGTGGAGCAGTTGGTATGATGTTTGTTTGACAACCTGTCAGGGTTCAATTCTAGGTAGTGGATGCGCACTGCTCATGAGTCCCAAATATAGGACGAAACGACCGTCCTCTGCATTGTGTTGAGGTTTCTTTCAGACTCAATGAATTAGTTAATTATAATTATCAAATCCTCCTAATAATATATATATATATATATATATATATATATATATATATATATATATATATATATATGTATGTTCTGGAGCAGTTGAAAGCGCCCCTAAGATGACCTTGTCTAAGCCAATTTAAACAACACTCCCTCTTACTGAAGGACAGCAGTTAACGATTAGACAGAGAGGAACCCAACCGAGGCTATGACTGCGGGCAGAGTTTCGTCTGGGGAGGTAGACAGTCGCCCCGACCACAACTGTTCTGTGTCTACGGCTAATTTTTGCCCGACCGTGCGTGTGCGGAAAGTCCCACGTTAAAACCCGGCTTTGTACCACATCCCGCCTTGTGGGGAGGTGTCAGCTAAATATCGAAGTCTTAACGATTAACTGTTCATTAGTCTGTGTTCTCAACCGTGTACCATATTATTTTCCGGAATAAACTGCTTCTTACTTTCCTATATCTGTGTCAACCTTTTATATTTACGACCCAACATTTTATCTCATTCTCGTCGCCAAATGTAGTGTCATAAATAGGAAATATTGACACTTATAGAATGTAAGAAGTAGTTTATTCCGGAGAATAATATGGTACCTGGTTGTGAACACTGAATAATGTAATAAACAGTTAATTCGGTATTTAGCCGAGACCTGCCTTCAATGCGGGATGTGGCAGAAAGCCGTTTTCCTTTTTACGTGGGTCGTTCCGAACCCATATGTTCAATCAAAAATTGCCTGTGGCCCCCCGTATACACGGGGTCGGGTAGCTGTCTATCTCCTCAGACAAGAATCTGCTCGTAGGCATAGCCTCGTCCATGTTCCTCTCCGCCCAGAGGCAGAGAGTCAAGAAGCAGAGTTACCTGTAATCGTTAACTACTCTTCCTCAGTGTTGTTTAAATAAACTAAGACCACTTCATCTTGCCATATTCTGGTGTTCAGCTACCCCACAATATATATATATATATATATATATATATATATATATATATATATCTGTGTGTGTGTGTGTGTGTGTGTATGTGTGGTTATTTTCCGACGGATGAGGCTTCAGCAGCTCAGTTCTTAGAACCAAGGACGCAAATTACCCGCATATATGATTTGATTGTAATAGAGTGAAATTGGACTTTTTGTAAGAGTCGCATGCATAGAACCGGTGCACAGACGTCCACAAGATCTGCAAATGTCTTTCTTGAGGTTTTGAATTCCAAGTTTTCCGTCTCCTAGGTCGGCTGACACTCAAGGTTTTTTTGCTATTTACCCAGAGCTGGTGGGTGAACAGATGGGTATCAGCAATAAGTGAACACATGAACTCTGCGGGAATTTAAACTCCGATTCCGCATTCCGTGATGCTTATATATATATATATATATATATATATATATATATATATATATATATATATATAATTATTTATTTAAAAAATATGATTCCAACTCGCGACATAAGAGGTCTCATGTTTCAAAACAAGAGCCGGAAACTTCAATATAATTATTTGAATTAAAATTGAGTTAAAATAAGCTCTGTTTCATCTTCAAGCGAAATTTTTTTTGAATAACGTATTTCTGAAATTTACGTGTTTTAATAATTGAAATCAAAATTTCCATGGTAACAGCTAGGGCGAATTGTTTAAATTGGGTAGGCGAGTGTTGGGTGTTAATAATAAGTGTCAGTATAGAGTTACTTTCATAGATGTCAAGTCAGGGTAAGGTGGGGGTGTCGAAATTTGAAACGGAAGATGTAATAACCCTCGTCTAGTTTGCATGTCTATGGAGATTTATTTATTTTTTTAAGAAAGGGATTTGTGCATATAAAAAAACTGCCGTAACATTTGTTTTTTGACGACTTCATAAAGGGTTATCTTTTTTGTAGGGTATTTAAACTATTTATTTGGGCTATGGATTATAATTATTTTCACATATATTTTCCTATTTTCTATATATTTTCACATATATATATATATATATATATATATATATATATATACGTGTGTGCGGTTTGCATTATTTTCATGCGTACTATTCTCCTCATCTTTGATTGTTATTATCGCAATGTTTCACCTTCTACGTCTATTTGATAAAAACGTTACTTCATGATATAGCAATTGTCTGTTCAAATCCTGGACAGGGCAGTACATAGTTGAACTCATTAGAAATTGCTATATTCATAATGATATGTTAGACTAACTTGTTAGCTTTTCCTTTACAGTGAATTCCCAGTTTGTTAAATTCGACTTTTTTTGTTTTGCACAGAAGTAGCTACTTACCTGCTCCCATAGACAATGGTAGGAGGATGTGCGCCAGTGTGGGTGAATTATGGTTTTTCAGTATTCGATATTGTTGCCTCTAAAACTGAGAATGAATTAAAAATTAAACAGACGCCGGCCAGACGATATAAAAGCGGAAAAAAACCCAAAACAATGAACAGTAAAGACGTAATTAATGATTGAACAATTACACAAGGTCGTCGAACGTTAAGTATGGACGGTGAAAAGTAACAATAAGAAAATAAAATACGGTAAAACATAGCTATCTTAATGGTCTGGTACCGTCTTATTTAAAACAGCGGAAAAGATAGAGAGAGAGAGATGCTGACAGAGAAGGAAAGGAAATTGTACATAGATCATGAAAAAGAGAGATGTACATAAATAATAGAAAGGTAAAAAAGAGATGTAGACAGAGAGAGAATGAAAAAAAAAAAGAAAGAGATGTAGAGAGAGAATGAAAAATGAGAGATGCAGATAGGAAATGGGAAAAAAAAGAGATCGATACAGATAATGGATGAGAGGGAAAGAGAAATGTAAATAGAAAATGGAAAGCAATTAGGCAGAACAAAAACTGAGGAGACAATTAAAAGAAGTGGGGGGAAAGATTGAGAGAGAAAGAGACTAGAAAGAAATATGTTAATACGGAAAGGAAAGCAATTAGGGAGAACGAAAATTAAGCAGATAATTAACAGAAAGAGAGAAAGAAAATGGCGAGATAAAAAAAGTTTGGAAAGAAAAGACAGAAGCTGAACAAATGAGAAAAAAAAACAAACAAATCTAATAGATTTCAAAATTGAAAAATGTGACGCGCTTTGATCTTTAGAAGGTCTTCGTCAGGCAAAAATAATGTTCTTATTGGTGGAATTATCTACATATAGTGGGGTTGGCTAAAATATAAAGAAAATATTATTTACAATTAGTCAGCTAAAGCGATACCTACATTTTAAAATGTGTTTTTAGAAATGAAAAATCTTTCTTGCAGGTTTTATTTTAGATTTAATTTCAAATTAATAGATTAATTTGATATTTCAATAAGCAAAATACTTGGCTGCATTTTAAACCAAGTTTAAATTGATTGGAAGTTATTTTTAATCATTAAAACACTAAAATATTCTAAATTGATAAATCTGTCAGCACAACGTAATTCTCTTTATTAAAAACTCTCTAAAAATAAAATATATTTCCTGCAACTCTATTTCAGGAAAATTAACTGATTTAACGTTTAATTAATCTGATCCAAAACAAAAATTACTTATAGTTCAAAATTATTTCTTTAACACGGAAGTGGATGTTTTTATGAGGGGTTGAGAACTTTCTCTATAGAGTTATATTTGGGATTTTTTCTAAGTAGGACAAAACTGCAACAATTACTTGATGAATGGTCGCCATTTTTATTTATGTACTTTTTAAAGTACCCAGTAATCTTAAATATTTAATCAAATATTGTAAGCAGTATAATATTTTATTGAATTTTAAGTAATTTGTCTTTATTGCCTCATTTTCGATGATGCTTGTTGAGTAAATGTTAGAAAATTACCAATAAATTTTGCTTTATTATCGTTACCGCTTCTGTTTTATGCTAATGTCCTGTGTAGACGTCCGTATTTACAAAATTCGACACGTTTATACATACATAAAATAAATTCAAATTTAAAAAAAATATATATTGGGGGTCGTTAAATAAGTGGGGAGAAACAGATGTAAAACACACACACACATATATATATATATATATTTACAAAGATTTCCTAAAAAAGAATTATTTCTCATACAATTTCCATCATTTGCGAATAAATCGTGAAAGTATAATTAAAATCTAATAATTATCTTATTTTTGCCAGAATTTCCAAAATGAATGTTTAGCACCGCAAATGGACGCTAAAATTCACATACTAATTTATAGTGTAACCTTTGACACTGGAGAACACATTTTTAACCAAAATTTTGAAGGTTCTAAGAAGGATTAAAGATATATATTTTTTTACATTAAAAAAGGTTTTGTCTTTCCTCTTAATAACGCAAAGATTTTGACGATAAAACTTTTCTTTTAAATTTCGTCCATTTTTTTTTATCAAGTATATTCATTTTCTAGCGAAACTTTAAAGCTACATTTTAACTTTAAAGCTATATTTAGAAGGATACAGCCTAAGGAACGCTGGAAATGAAGGGACATTAAACTTTAAAATTACATTTTAAATTCCTGGCATAAGATGTGTCTAGACGTACAGCAGAGACAATTTAATTCAGCTTTCCAACACTTGTTTTTGTTTTACTAACTGTTGCTTATAAATATCCCACATTATGATATCAGTAAATTTGTTAAGGAAGATCAAGTTTGGCACAAATCTGGACGCAAATTTGCCGGGGAAAACTCAGATATTAGTAAACTTTCAATACATTTCCAACTTAGTAATTTACTTCCTGTTTTATTTAAAATTAGATTGTTTAAAGAAAATTATGGTCAGATTGATTGTCTCTTTGTAAATGAACCTTCATCTATAAAATTCTTGTCTCATTTCTTGTAGCTTATAGAGTAAATGCCTGCCTTAGTTATAAAGTAAACTCCTGCCTTAGGTTTATAGAGTAAATTTGTGCCTTAGGTTTATAGAGTAAATACCCGCCTTAGGTTTATAATGAAAATTCCTGCCTTACATTTATAGAGTAGATTTGTGCTTTAGGTTTATGGAGTAAATTTCTGCTTTAGGCTTAAAAAATAAATTCCTTGCCTTAGGTTTATGGAGTAGATTCTTGCCTTAGGTTTATAAAGTAAATTAATGCCTTACGTTTATAGAGTAAATTCCTGCCTTAGATTTATAGAGTAAATCCTTGCCTTGGTTTTATTGAATAAATTTCTGTTTTAGGTTTATAGAGTAAACATGTGCCTTAGATATACACAGTAAATTCTTGCCTTAGGCAGTTGTTATTTTTTGTATGTATTAAATCTTTTACCGCTTTACAAGTAGTTGTAACAAGCTCTATGTATATTTCAGATAAATTCTTTTCAATTGTAACTGTATTTTAGTTAGTATAATCTATTATATATCTAGTTTCATTGAAATTGTTCAGCACGGGAAGGGATTAGCGAAACATCTCATCATTTTACAGGTGAAATGGATATATGCAACCCTAAGTTCTACACTAACAGTTTCTTTTATCGCACTTCTCACTTGTGGAACTCTCTTCTGGCTTCTGGCTTCCCAGTCAAGTTTGATCTTCAAAAAATTAAATGGAATATTAATCGTTGTCCTCTTACTTCCTGTTTTCTTGTTGTTCCCTCTCCTGCAGAAAAAAAATAACTGCTGTGGTGTCCTCCTTCTAAAGAGTCTATGTTGGACTCTTCCGCCTACTATAAGATTAGTAGGAGAGAAGGCCTTGGGGAACAGTCGAATAGATTGAACGCTGGGTCAACCGACACACACTCACTAGTCGTGTAATACTCTTCTGTTGTACTTACTGTTTAATATATGCTATATCTGCAACACTTGTTTAGTTATTTCTTTAACCATTTACTTGGTAACAACATCTTGGCGACGAAAGATTCGAAGAAATAGACTTCATGTTAAATCATAAAAAAAAAAATTTGCCAGTGTCTACAACAGTAGTGAAGAAAGGAATTCTAATCAAACTCTATGACAAAAGGGTGTCCAGTGTTAATTACAACACTGGCAGTGAAAAAAAGAAATTCTCAAAACAATAGGATTTCTATAAGTTCAATTGGGTGGTTGGAAAAAGGGTTGGTGAACCTTGTTATTTTTTTCCATTCCAACAAGTCAATAAAAGAAATGTACAAGTCAAACAGACTTATTGTTTTCACTAATAGGGTAAAGTTTCAAATTTATCGCCTCTCCCGCTTTTAAATTTTTCAGTAAAAGAATCGTTCAAGTCAAATAGACTTATTGTTGGTTAAGAGGGTAAAGAGAAAAAAATTACACCCTCTCATTTCTTAATTTTACGCAGTAAAATGGATGAATTTAAAAGTGCAATGCTAGAGTTGATGAAACAACAACAGGAACAACAACTACTGTTGGAACAGAAATATAAAAAAAGAAAAGAGAAATTCCGAGAACAACTAGAATACAAAAAAAATAAATCTGAGGAATTGCACCTAGAAGTTCAGGTAAGACAACAGAAATTGGAAGAAATCCTCCTTCAAACACAGAAAGAGCAAAGGCACTTGTATAATATATCCATCAAAAGCCAAAATGACAGCAAAAACGTGTTCTCTCAAAATGCTATATGGAATGCTATTGAAAACTTCATGTTTGCACCTGAAGAAGAAATTACATTAGTACTTTAAACGTTACGATGACTTATACAATACGAATTGGGCAAGTTGGGCTGACCATAAAAATGTTCGTCTACTCCTCAGGAAATTAGGCACAGCAGAATATACAAAGTTTATTAACTATATCTTGCCTAACAAAACCAGCGACTTGAAATTTAAGAAGCGGTTCAAGCATTAACAGAAATCTTCCGTCCAAAGATACCACTGTTCCACAAGCTTTGGAAATGCATGAATCTCACCCGCAAAGAAGACGAAGATTATACTACTTTCGCGAGTGTAGTCAATAAACATTGGCAGAGTTAAGCGCCAATACTTTTAAATGCTTGATTTTCGTCCAGGGTTTGATTTCAGCGAAAGACGCCGAAATACGTTGTAGGGCACTCAACAAACTTGAAAACGTTACTTTACAGCAAGTTGCCGAAGATTGCCAACGTATCGTGAGTGTCAGAGGGGATTTGAAAAACATCGAACAGAGTAGCATCGCTCACATTAAAAAAAATATACGCAAAGAAAAATTAAAAATGGTCAACCAAAAAATAATAAAGTTACTTTGCCGTGAAGACCATATTTTAGGGGTGGTCAATTACTTTGTTATATAGATTGTCCTTTTAAAGATAAAAAAAATGTTTTAATTGCGATAAAATAGGAACACAAATGTTCCCACTGCAGGATTAGGAACAAGAAAAAAAAAGGTTTTGTAAAAATTACTAAGTCTGATGAACCAGAATGTCGTAACATCATGAAATATATTGAAGTGCAAATATTTAACAAAAATATAAGGCTACAGATTGATTCGGGTTCAGATCTATATCTATAAAAGTCAGGATGTGTGTGTGTGTGTGTGTGTGTGTGTGTGTGTGTGTGTGTGTGTGTGTGTGTGTGACGAATGCACGGCCGCAATTTTCGACAGATTTGCACCAAAATATACATGCACATGCTCCAAGTTAGCCGAAACGCCAAGACTGACTTTGCATTTCCCAACTCCCATCGATAGTGGAAATAATCGACTTTTTCATGCTTCTACGGCAGTTTTCATGTACTTTACAGTCATTTTGTACTGGCCAGAGTGAGAGCCAATAGCTGGCTGTCACGAATCGGCAGGGAGATTCTATTGACCAGCGTGAGAGCCAACAGCTGACTGACACGAATGTTAACTAGCATGCTAGCATGCAAAAAAAAATATCGATAGCTGCATTCATCACAAGTGAGAAAAATTTAAATCTGCATGGCACTTTACTCCAATTGGCTCATTCGCTTGCTTAAACTTAACGTTGATTCTGATTCCGCAGAACTGGGTTGGGTGCGAAAAAGTATTTGTTGTTAACATTCTTTTTTCATTCTGTTTTTCAAGTTACGAGTCCTTTTTGAAAGCTGATCGTTTTGTGTTCATTTTTTTTAGTTCTTTTTTCGTAACAGATTTAATGTTTAGTATAGAGCTTCGAAAATATTCGCAGTGTGAGT